CATGAGGAAGAGAAAAAGAAAAAGAAATATAAAATATATAAACACAGTTTAGTTAATTTTCATTTATCCAAATTGAAAGAAAAATATTTTTTCTCGTGTCCTAATAAATACAACACCCTAGATGGCAAGAAATGTATGGAAACCTATATGCACATGAGGACTATACAAATATGACAATCACACCCAATTACTAATTGTCGTGAGAAAAAATTAATTAAATTACCTAAGAATGGAGAATGCCATGAGAAAGTATAACAAAAACTTTACACCGTCCGCTACTCACAAAGTTTGGGTTTGACCGAAGTCAGTGAACCACCCTTATGTCTGCTAAAATTAATTTGCTAAGTTATGTGAAAGAAGTAATGTAAAAACAGTAATCTTAAAAAAAATAATCTGCAAAGTTATAGACAATTTCTAAGAGTGTCTATGTCTAATATGACAGAATAGTTGTGAAAAGGGGGCTCACATTTCTATTTCATTTTCTAGAATATGTATCTTTATTTTTTTGCCAATTTTTTGTCTTTTTCGTTGTTGAATTGTTTGAGGTTCTCAGATCAACTCTTTTTATTCAACTCTACTTCTTGGTCCAAATTACCAGAGGTAAAGTATTCATATAACTTGGCATGAATTCGTCATATTAATGTATTTTATAGAATACAAATGTTACTTTGTGTTCTTGACAGATATTGTTAATTTAAATTATATTGTGAGTTTGGTGTTTTTAGGAAGCATGGTTTGAAATTGTTTTGAAGCAAAATGTACAAATCATTTGTTTTTTCAAATATAATTACCATTCTTTGATTGGTTTGTGTTTTGAGGACTGAGGTTTCTGTTGGATAACAAATGATTTGGATTTATTTGGTTTAATGTTCTGATAGATGGATTATAATTTAGAAAAATCTCTTATTGATTTGTTTAATCCATCTCTTACTCTGTTTCGCTCTCTTTTTCTTTATCCCTTTCTTTCTCATGCACACACTCACGCATACAACAAAACTCTTGCAATAAGGTGAGTTTAAAGAGACTATGATTTTTATTGTTTGGGATTTTTTATGAAGTGGATCGATTGGTTGAGAATGGGTTTCTCTGGTGCATGGTTGGTGGTTTGATTATTTACATAGAGACTATGACATACTATTGAATTTCTATATACACTACGAATGGCGTAGATAAGTTATCATGAATGATTGGTTGGGAATGTTTAATTTCATGAATTTCATCTCAATTCATACATCACCTTTTTTATTGTTTGATTATGCTGCTATGTTGAATTGTTTTAGTTGAATATGAATTTTTTTTGTTCACTTAAAATTTTGATGCTTGGATTAATATTTAATCAGTTCATTGACGATGGTTCACATTGTTTCATGTATTATAGATTTTTGTTTTCCCCGACTCATGGAAGGCTGAAAAGACTCAACAGTTCACTTTGGGTAGATGGATTCTTTGAGATGTCTTACCATACATAATGTTTTGGTTTTGGTTTTGTGTTCGAAAAAATGTTAAATGTTAATTCTTTGACTTGATTTTATTCTACTGCTAAGGGTTGCAATTTTATTATTGACTGATACTTCAAAATATAGAATGTTCAAACAAAAAGATTCTAATTTATGTGGATTTAGTTATTTGGTTGGAGTTGCATGTATAACACGTGACTTTGACGTTTGTTATTATGATATAAAAGTTTATTTTAGTTTGAATTGTGTAGTGACTACAATTTGATGTTCTCTTTGAGTTAGGTTGAATAATTTATTCTTGAGATTTGTTATGCAATGATTTGTGTTAGGTAGTGTTAGAATTGATGTTAGGGTAAACAGGTTGAGATTTCTTTGGGTTTCTATTTTTAAAGAAAATTTTGTTGATTTTTTTTTAAAAGTAGAGATTATATTGATTTCAATTTCCTTAATTAAAGTAAATAAAGGAAAAACTATTTCAATTTGAAAGATTTGTTTAAATTGTAAAAGTGCCTTTAGGCACAGTTTTTATGATATATATTACTAATTTTATTATATAAACTGTGTTGTGTACAGGTCGATATTGTTCAGAGTTATGTCTTTATGACAGATTATATCAATTTTTTTAAAAAAAATAATAGGTCAATATTAATCTGGTGGAGCTTATAGTCGAAGAAATTCAATTATATCTCAATCTCTACATGAGCTCATAATTCAGTTGGGGAAGTTTATTGCAATGTAGTTGATAGTTCTGATTTGGCTGGTGGTTGAATTGTTCCTATAAGTATGGTAAATTTTACTATTGGTATGATATACATGATAAATTGCTTCAAATCTTAGTTTTCTTTCTAATAATTTATGTGGGAATAACATCATTTTGATTGTAATTGGGCTTCAATTTCATTTTTTAATTGTTTAAATAAGGATATGTTAACTGTATTGTGTAAATTTTGTGTTTTGTTTGTTCTATGCTTAGTACGGTAAATTAATTACACATGGTTACAATAATATGTTCGGTTTTATGTGAATTGATAGTTGATTTAGTCATTGGTATAAACTACTAATTTGGGGGAAAATAAAATTAAATCATGGTGGTAAGGTGTATTATGATGATTGTTATATATGATTATAAGTTCTGTAAATATGTATATATTTTTTTGGACTCTTATTTTTAGAGGAAATTGAACCAAAATTTCTAAAAAATAGTATGGACAAGCTTGATTTCAAATGGAGTAAAAACTATTTCAAATTAACAGTTTTTTTAAGTTTTGAAGTGTCTTTAGGCAATGTAGTATATTTCGAGTTTTAATTTAATCTTGCGTAATGCCGTGCTTTCAGACACGAACAATTATTAGTGTCTAAATATGGACAAAAAATAATTTTAATAGCTTTTAAACAAAATTTGGGTAGTTTTTGACAAAAAAAAATATATAATATGAATAAATTTTGACCAAAATTTAGATTTCTCATAATCAAACCTATATAATTTAGGTAGCTATTTAACTAAAATTTGAATAGAAACTTGGTCAAGAGTTATTTAAATTATTTTTTTATCCACATTTAAGTATTACGTGACAAGTTTATGATAAAAAATTATTAATAATTTAAACACTGCCTGCTTGAGGGACCATATATAAACATATTCAATATTTCAAGAACCAAAGTAATACAATTAAAACATTCAAAATTAAAATAAGACAAACTATATACTTTAAGGACCTCCAATACAATTAACCTAATATTGTTAGCCGAACACGGGGTGGTCCACAAAAGGTTTAAAATCTTGCCGACGGTTGTTCCAAATCATAGGAGGACGACTACCAGCAGGCAGACAAGAAGTATCATCGGGAAGCTACGTTAGATGCTTCCTCTGTCTATTCAACGTGGGAATTCTCTTAAAGGAATCAAACTTTTTTTAAGAAATCATATATATTATGTGGAATGTGTCTATCAAGAAATTTTTTTGGCATAATCAGTAGTATTTGTACCGAAAATTATAATTTTTAAAAGTTAAGTTATAATTTTTTTTAAAATTTAAGTTACAATTTCAAAAAATATGATCGATCATAAAATGTTAGAATCGATACCGTATTTTCAATAATCACTCATTAGTATTTATGATCGATCATGATTTTCCTTGATCAATTATAACTTTCTTTTCAAAATTATAATTTTATCATACAAAATAATAACCGATAATATCCGTACCCAAAAAAAAAAAAAAAAAAAAATTCATACCGTAGAGTTTCCCCTCTTTGTACGAGTGCTTCCCGCAGAGTCCCACCATGCGAGTCTTTCTCTTCTTTTGTTTGGGTTTTTCTTTCTGGAAAGTTTTTCGGATATTCCTTGTTCCTAGTACAGCTATGTTTGATATAAACAAGATTCATTCATAATGGTATGACAATTGGATTATAGTCGTTGTATCAGCGAATTTATGTTTTGTATTATGTTTTTATACCTCGTAATATTGTTATGATGTGATATACAAGATTTGTACGTAAAACTTTATCATAGATCAATTTCATGGTTTGCCCCGAGCATTGTCTTCTATTTTAATTTGATCCCTAAATTTTTATTTGTCCCATTCCGATCTCTTAAATATCAATTTTTGTTACAATTAAGTCATTTTGTCCATTTTTACCGTCAAATCAATCATGACATTTCCGTCGTTAGATCAATGCTGACATGTATTAAATAGGGTTAATTTTTGTTGATCTAACGATGAAAATTGATAAAATGACTTAATTGAGACGAAATTGATAATTAAGTAATTAAATGAAAATATTTGAAAGTTTATACACTAAATTAACACTTAAAAGTTATTACTTAATTTTGAAAGTTGTAACTTTCGATATGGATCTTAACATTTTATAACTTAATTTTAAAAAAATTATAAATTTCGATTCCGTAGCATTGGAGGATTTTGATTGTCCTGTATCCCTAAATTCTATTATTTTTGTGGGTGTTTTTATAATTTTTATAAATTGTTTCATAACTTATTTTGATACAAATTTTTTTATCACATAATCTTTACTTTGCCTAACACACACCCATGCGCAAAATAGGGGAAATTTCACTTTAAACAGCAAAAAATTTAAAATTTTCTACTTTATACCTACAGACTTCAAAGCCTTGCTTACCTAACACATACACACTCACAATAGGGGGGAATTTTACTTTGTACTCTAATTGTTTTTTATTTTTTTATTTTATACCCTCAAAAATGAATTTATTCATTCTTAATGTATTAAAAATATTATAATATAACCTCCTGTTGCTTATTTTGTCAAAAATCACCCTATTGATATTGACAAAATGAGTAACGAAAATGAAAAGGCCAAATTATAATACTTTTAATACATTAAAGGTATAATATAAAAATTTAATCTTTGAGAGTATAAAATAAAAATTATTCAATCTTTATGGGTATAAAATATAATTCACCCAAAAGAAGGGTAACGTAGTTAAAATGTCAGAAGGTGTTTCAACGCTGACGGTTAGGTCCCAAATTTTCAAAACCCCACCGCCTAAGCATTGTAGAGAGAGAGAGAGAGAGAGAGAGAGTGAAGAGAGAGACTATGGTATGGTTGTTAGGTCCCCTCTCTGGAATACTGCATCTCTCCTTTACAGCTTAGGGTTCAACATCGGTTGACGCATTCGATTTCATTCTCAGACTGTTGATCATATAATCAACAAATTGATCATGTGGCGTACTTTCTGGCGATCCATTGATCGGTTCTCACTTCAGCACTTCAAGTAAGTTATTTATCTAGTTGATTTAACACTCTAGTTTGATTTGAGTCATCTATTTCAACATTCGTAAATTAGGGTTTGTATTATCTGAGTTTTGTTCCACCTGAATTGGAATTTCTTTGGGATAAGGGATTGTAACATGATGTTCAGCATTGGTAATGTCGAACCAACTTGGGGCCGATGGAGACAGTAACTTGCGAAAAAAGTAAGTGTAGGCATATGAGGGGAATTCACCTATAAACCCATTAGACGCTTACCCTTTAACACAATGGAAGGGGAAACAAATGAGTAAATACACTTGGATTCCACTTCATTTTAGATAGAATGCCAAAAGTTCAAACTATTAAGTAGAGGGGCAACGACGGATTGAAAAAGCCCTCTCTGAATTTTGAAAAAGTCTTTAGTGTGACATGTCTAAATGTGTGCCTCTGTAAGAATGTGGAGAAACAATGCTATACATATAATGCCATTTTGTCAGCGTTCCAGAGATGATCTATGTTATTAGTTTTTCAAAATGGTTGGACTGTCCTGCTGAACTCACTATGGATATTATCTGGAAAACATAAATTATATGCTGAAAGATTGCCAATTGTCCTCATATGTCTAATATTTTGAAGAATGACATTGAAAATGAACAGCACAGGACTTAGCATAAGATAAAAGTTCTATGTTCTTCCCCAACATAGAAAGCCAGAAGGGATGGAAGTAGAGGAGCAAGTGGAACAAATATTTACAAAGATGTAGCCATGCCTAATTAGTGGAACAAGTGCCAAACAATGACTACACTGAACTCATATAGTTGTGCATGCATAAAATTGAAGTTCTGTAACTGCTAGAAGAAAGAGGGCAATATGTCCCATGGTTAAGGTACCAGAGGGAGGGACTGATAATAAGTGCTGTTTGCAGTGCAAGGGTTGCTAGTGTTGCACTTAAATTGCTTTTGAGTCAAATTAATAGAGATTGTGCATGGATAATGTTTTTTGCTGGGCCGGTTGAGGAACAAAATGGTTTACTGAATATGAATTGAAACTGGTCAATTCTCCATTAAGATTCTCTCTGCCAGGCCTCCAACAGTTTTGGGCAGTAAAGCCCATGTATCCCAAAACTGGACTTTTCTTAGCTACAACATCTGCAATGATCATAGCAGGGTTTATTGCAGGTCTCACACAACCAGAAGGATCATTGCTTCAGCCATTGTAAAAACCTCATCTAATGTGATCCCTCGGCGAATGCAAATAAGACCAGAATCTTTCCAAAGACAGAAGCATCTGGATGCTCGACTTCTCTCTTTCTACTGTTACTGCATCAACCCTAGGTCTTTTTAGGGAGGATGACCACAATCCTTGTTTTCTTGGACTTATAACCAGGTTCTGTAATGCTCTAAATAATACACATTCTTACAGCATATGCTAACCAAAATCAGAAGGATTACCGAATTTCCTTCGTCTTCCAATAAAACGGCGCCATTGCTTAATATGGGTCCCTGTAAGTGCAACTTGAATAGATGATAATATAGTGAGTCACTAAAATCCTGGTTCCAGTCAGAGATTAGGACTTAAGCAGATTTTGCCACTTCACCGGTGGTATAGGAAATTGAATCCTGCCTAAGGCACAGAGTGGTAATGTTCTGGATATTAAATATCAAATTCAGTGTTCTTTCAATGAGACAAGTAAAGACTATGATCTTCAAATATAATAGGATTTAACTTACATAGCCTCAGACTCACAAAGAGCATGTATTATGATTCTTTTAGAGGCATCCTTTGTTAAAATTTGTTCCTAAACATTTTAATATCTCCTAATTTTGTTGGAATTACCCGAAGGATCAGGATTGAACTAGAACTATTATATAGGGTAGGGATAAGAAAACAATGTCAAACCAAAAGACTTTTTGTTATTGAAATTTCCAAATAGCTGTCTTGTATTAGTTGTTTACTGCAATGCCATAAACTTCCTACTGAAGTAAACATTTTAGTCCTTTTTTTTTAATGAACACGCACAAGGCAATGCATAAAAATTTTGAACATACTTTACCCAATGTGTTAGTCCATTAGACAATAAAGTATTATATTGGGTGGTGCCATGTCTGTTTAGCATGGTGGGCATAGTTGTCAAATTGCGTGTATCTTATGATACACGATAATATAGCATTTCATTAATATTCAACAAATTATTCAAGTTTCCAACATAATTCAGTAATATCAAAATACAAAAACCTCTATTTCAAACTTCTAACATCAAATGCTTGAACAACTTTAATATTAATCATGAATTTTGAACTCAATTGAATAACCTTAACAACATACTTTATTTTATTTTTTTTAACTACAACCATTAAAACGACGTTGTTTCACTGGCTAGTGATTTAAAAATAAGTTTTAGGGTAAAACGATGTCATTTCAGCCCAAAAAATTAAAAAAAAATAAAAATAAAGATTCTTCACGTATTGTACATATTGTAAAAAACGATACAGAGACACGATACGTATAGTTTTTCAGGTTCGTGACATATTGTACGATACTAATAACTATAATGGTGGGTAATGCCATAAACTTGCTACTGAAGTAAACATGTTATACCATTAGACTAAGAAAATATCTTTGGTGGTGCCAAGTCTTTGTAGCATGGTGGTGAAAGTCCTCGCTGGCATCAAAAGAAAAGGCTCATTTCTTACAATACTAGAAAAATAAATTAAATTTCTTGTAAACTAGCCAATGATCCTCCAACATAAAGTGGAAAAATGTGTGTAAAGACTGTCCCTTGCCTACTATTTCTTTGATTTTGATTTCAACGTAAATTTCTTGATGTAAAGTTGATAATGGTTTCAACATATATTAAATAAGATTGCAGCCAATGATTATTTGGTTAAACAAGCATAATTGATATAGCTCATTCAATTATTTGCTTGCAAAAGTACTATTTACTCATCTGATTTTTCAACAACGAGAGCTAACCTTATGCATTTGGTTATATAGATACGTTGTTAACGAATTGCAGATGATCAAGGTTGTGGACAAGCAGAACAGGGTACTGGACTTTGTGACATTCTTATTTATTATCATGATGCATTCTATGAGTTCTATCAGTCTGTCATCTCATATTTCTTCTTCTTCGCCATCAGGAATTAGTTATAGACTTGTTCCAATCTATTGTGGAGATAGTCACCTATGGCGACAGACATGATCCATCAATTTTCGAGTATGAAATCTTGCACCAAAACCTCTTTTTGATTCGAATTTCTCTATATCTTGATGACTTAGTTATACAGTTTGTTTTTTTGTTTATTTTGCAGATGTTTCATGGAATATCAAGTTTTGGCAGAGTTTGTTCGTGTGTTGAAGATCAGTAGAAATGCAAGAATTGAGGCCCCATTGCTCCAGTATCTGAGCATAATGATTCAGAACATGGAGGGTGAACATGCAATTTGTAAGGCAGTTGAATGTTAGATAATAAGGAAGCTTCTTAAATTTTTGAGTTCCATGATCTGTCTCTTCCCTCAAGAAAATGGGGATGGGTTGCTACAGTATTTTAGCATTATACTCCCCCCCCCCCCCCCACCCCACCCCGGGGAGGGGCGGGGGTCCCATTTAAGGAGGCCCTTCATCCATTTGGGGATGCCCCAGAATACATGCCCACTTTTGAATTCAAAGTGTTGAAAAAGTTTGAGGTTCCTAATATACCCTTCCCTTTTCATGATACAAGACTGAATGACAACATGATGACACAATGTGACTGGAGAAAATAATGCTTTCAAAAAATAAGGGGAACAAAGAGTAATAATGTAATATGCTAAGTTCCTTGCAGGCTCATGTTCTTCTGTTTGTGTGTGTGTGTGGCTGCCTTTGTCACCTGTCTTTGGTAAAGGACAAAAATATAATGTACTGAAGACCTTGCATTTTGGTTTCACTGTCGCTTCCTGACGCGATAATTTGCATATGCCCACTTGAATGACTATATGTTTTTCTTTTTTGGATATTTGTGGGTGGGGGTTGGGGCTGTGGGAAGCATTCGTCATGCAAGATACAGGCCACTGTCTACTTGAGGAATGGTTCTATATCATTTTTCTTTGGTTTTTGTTTGTACGCAATCTTTTTGTTTGCTTAGTTCTTTGAGTGCTGCTTATGCATACTTTGATATGTTTATCTGTTTGCTGCAGACTACTGCTTAAGCAATGACTATATCAACAGCATTATAACACATCAGTTCGAACTTGATGGGGGAGATCTAGCTCCTTATTATGTGTCTTTTTTAAGGTTGTGGTACTATCATTCCCCTTCCTCTGTGTTTCTGGCAATTATATGACTGTAGTTGTTGTCAATGATAGTTTATTTTACCTAGTGTCTCACTGTCTCTGTCAATTTGATTGATGTTTTGGAGCTGTTTATAATTTCACTCTTTCGTTTTTAAATCAGAGCAGTAAGCGGCAAAATAACTAGAGGCACACTCTGTCTTCTTGTGAAGGTCCATGAGGTAAATTAGAGCTTTTGAATGTAGGATATGTTGTCAATATCCTCATGCTCTACTTTTAACTACTACAGTGTGTAGTGTGAATATAAAAACCATAGGTGTAATGCTGGATGACACAGTCAAACATATCTTTCGAGTATTGTTATTATCTTGATACATGAGGCAAATATCCGAATATCTCCAATCCGAGCTCTAACCTAGGAAGTGAAAGCGTCTCAGAAAGGTTTTGAAATGGTTTGTAAATATTTTGGAAGCATTCCAGGAAACACAATCAAAATGGAAACAAAATATTTAGAAATTTGTTTCCTAAACATTTTGAAATATTGGTCGAAACACCTCGAAACATTCCGAAAACTTCAAAACACCTTGAAACATAGGAATTTCAATATTCAATCATTGATTCGTTTCGATTTCTATGGAAACGGGAACGTTTCGACTGTTTCGAAATGAAATTTTGGTCTTTATGTCTATGAATTTAATTGTCACCATTATATGGGTTTGAGTTGTGGAGAATGGGGGATATCATACTAAACATAGGCCTTTATGGTCGATGCACTTTTAAAGCATGTGTTTCTCCTTAGTATTCTCTTTTAGATATGTTGTATCATTTCGTCAATTTTTTTCACAAATAACTTCTGTGGTTGGACTTAGCTTCTCTTTATGAATGTCCATTACAAAGTATACAAGAAATACTAAAGTATAATTATTAAGAAACTAAAAATCTATATCTTAGATGCACGTTTCTCATTTTACAAGAGATGCTATTAGAACCTTGATTACACTTATTGTGGATCTGTACTCTATAGTTATATAACACTGGAACATTCTTTTGTTATCCCCTATTGCCTTAATGCAACACTTGCATTTGGTCCCATCAGTCAAGCCTTGAAAACATGAGGGTGTTACAGTGGTCTCTTGATCTTTGGACAAATCAGGAACAGTCGCAGAAAAGGTAAAAGAAAGACAATCTTAGAGTTGTTCAGATGCCCTTTCTTCATATTCATGTTATGCCAGTCCATCTGACAATATTGACGTCAGTTCCTTGCGTCGGGTCTACTAAACTGTTTGGGATTTTGGGTGTTAGATCCATGAGAACAACTGTTTGATGTGTTCTGTGCATGTGGTTCTGAGTTGTGATTGAGAGATTAAATCATTTTCAATTGATAATATTGAGGCATTGCGATGACATGCCTATGCTTCATAACATACTTGGATAACTGCTTCTATGCATTTGGCATCAACTTTGCAAGAAGAGGGATATTTGGATTGTAAAGCTTGATAGTAATGTATATTTGGGCATGTATTGGTTTTAAGGATGCTTTAACTTCTTCTGCTTCATCGAATTCAATGAGTAAATGACTTGAAGTGCTTATTGTCACAAATACCGGATCGTAGATACCCCTACCGTCCCATGAACCAGGATCGCACCATCCTTAATGGGTTGGGTTTGTGATCTAGATCGCTTAAATTCCCGACTCCAAATTGCAACTCAAACCCCAAAATAGATACTAGTTAATTATGTGTATATGAATGTATAACTATATATAATCTCATATAATAGAGAAAGCGATCCAATAGAAAACAAACCACGGCCCAAAATAGCGTACTAATTAAACCTACCCCATTGTACTACATATCGGAAGATGTACTGTACCATGTATCCGTACCTATACCACATCCCTAATCGTCCCAAGATCCAGGTAACATTGCCTATTATTATAGTAGAAGTGCAGAACTGCATGATTTATGGGAATCAGGACATACTGGAGTACAAAACAAAAGATGTGTACTCAGTACAAAAGATGTGTACTCAAAACAAAAGATGTGTACTCAATTAATGAGAGTCTTCCGATATGTGGCATGTGCCTGTCTTATATGACTGCTTTGTATTGCCAGAGGCTTGGGACTCAGTTCAGATCTATTTGTTTATGTATCTTATATATCATGGCAACAGGATGTTGTGGTCTCATTCCCACTGTACACAGAAGCCCTTAAATTTGCTCATCATGGGGAAAAGATGATCCAGATAGCCGTGCGTGCAATAACACTCAACATATTCAATGGTGCTACTATGGTCATTCAGATTCCTCTCATGTAGAAAAAATATAGGAAAACTACGTATTTTCTTACAACGGTATTCTTTTGGCTATGCAGTTAGTGATGACATGGTCTATCAGTTTATGACAACTCCTCCAGTTTCGGAGTATTTCTCAGGCTTGGTTCTGAACTTAAGAACACAATGCTTCCACCTAGATGCTGTTGTCCATGCTACAGAGTATGTATCTTTCACTTTATTATTAAATATTAAATAAATGTCATTTAGGCAAGTTATATTCCGGTGATCATAGGGATTAGCAACTTTCTTTCTAGTTAATTGGTTGGTTTTGATGCAGGAACACTTATAAGGGAAGAAGAGAAGAACTTCTTCTGGAAACTGATAAAATTGTAGATGATCTTTATTACTTTAAGGACATATATTCTGTTGGCGAGCTTCACTTGAGCAAAACTCTTACTAGGGATCTTGTCAGCATGTTGGTCTTTCCCATATTGCTTCCATTAGTGCACTTAAGCCAGAGTAGTGTGAGATATTCTTCATCTGAACTTCTGTAATCTTATTGTATTTGCATGATCATTCAACTTTGAAATATATGTTTTCGTTGTTTGGTTTGATTATACCACTTTTTAGATTTCTTTAGGGGCAGTTATAGGATGATGGTGCGTCTCTATATCCCTGTGAAGGGGTCTTGACCCAAACCTTCAAGTTCAAAGAAATTCTGTAGAATATTTGTTTTCAGGATTACGTTTTCCTAGACTACGTACAGTACAACTGTCACTCTAACTATGTGTTTTTGCCCCCTAAGTTTTAAGCAGCCATATACACAAATACTAACTTCGCTGATGGCGGCCAAAATGTTTTCTACCCTAGGCATGCATTTTCCAGACCTCAGGTTTATCATCTCTCTTTGCTCCATATTTACTTTCCTATTCTTTTTATGCAACTAGGGTTTAGGGTATTATTTTGCCCCAAATTGAGCATAAGATATACTGATCTGGTTTTGGGTGGTTCCTGTCCATCATATGAAAATGAATTGCCTTACATCTAAACAAAACCCTCTTAAGAGTTATCACCCCAGTGATTGCACAGGTTAAATGTGGAACAGCTTGCTAGTATATACAAGAATCAAGTAATTAAAATAATTATGACACATTTCATTTCCTCTTATAGGGCACACAACTCTCTGCAATCACATCTCTTTTTGTAGTTTCTCGTCTTCTTCAAGTTCTTGAGGGAACCAATATGGCTAACTTTGTGGCTAGTGCTATTCTATGTTTCCACATGTCTTCGAGCATAGAAGATGTCAACAATTTGCACAACTTGGAAGAAATGGTATGCCCTGAGCCTGAGGGTGATGAAAACTTCAAAAGGAGCAATATTCCTGGGCATTTATCTGATTTCCTTGCATCTAGCTCTCATATTCTCAGTTTCCTTCCTGATGATATTAATAAAGAAAGGTTGGTGACCTTTCCTTTTTTGCTGCTATACTTTTTTCTTGAGTTCAACAAATTGTCAGAGACTATGGAAAAAATGATGTTTTGGTGTTCCCAGCAATCTAATCGTATTGCTGTAACATGATTTTGTATTCATGATTGTTAGTAGTTCCCCTTACAGCCGAGGCTGCGAAAGAGGTGATGGCAACATAGGACTTGTAGGGGAAGAAACGAACAGTCTGACTGTCCATCAAGCCAAAAGACCTGACCAACAGTTGAGTAAGCCCATGTACGATGGCTCTCTAAAGCGTAATTTCTCGTTAGTCAATAGGGAAATTTGGAATTTTGTGGTTATATTTTTATTTAAGTTTCAATTTTTTTGTCTATATTATTGAGCAAGCTTGTTTTAGGGAACTGTATGCTAAATTTATCAGCAAGTTAAGGTTCATTTTTTCTTTTCTTTCCCTAGAAGTAGATAGTTACTTCAACAAGTTTCCATAGAGGGTTAGTGGAAATGAATGTTAAAGGTTTAACTAGATTCAGCTCCTCATGTTTTTGATACTGGAAGCTGTATATAATGTTGATGAAAAACCCATGCTCATGTTGAAAATGTTGCCATATTGTTGTCATCTCCATCTCAATATGAACTTTTAGTGTTGTTAGTACCTAAGGGCAAGCCTGGGTGGTTGATTTCAATGGATTCCCCTCTCTTTCTACAAATTTTGATATTTTCTCTTCCATTTTAGGAATCATATTTTTGAACTTGTTTCCTATGGGATAGCTTAGTTTTATTATAAGGTAAGGATAAGTAGAAAATAAGGAGATTTGACCTCAACATCAATGTTGAGAGACATCTGAAGAATTCTGGGCTACCCTTCCATTGTGGCATTGCCAAATATACTAAAATTGTTTCCTTACTTTTTTAAATTCTATAATTGGTGGTGTCCATTCCCCCTGTCCCCCTACCCTCCAATACTCTAGCAACTAAGATCTGCGTATCTAAAATATCTGACTCAGTTACTTCACTGAGTTTAAGCATATTGAAATTTGTGCAACACAGAAGCAGGTAGAAGAAAATGGGATAATTGTGGTCTTCCCAAGGCTGGTATCTGAAAGTTGAAATGTTGGATGACTACATAGTCATGCCTATTACCTATGCCATGCTTTGTCTGGTGCTGGTGCTTTAAATGATCTAAACTATCCATGTTATAATGCTTTCTTTTCCCGGAATTCTGTTGAAAGGTAGAATAATACTTAACTGCATATTTTCATTGCACATGAGCGTGGAGCTTAGAGAATCACATCACTATTGAGTGGGATAGTTGACTAAGATATTAGGGCCTCTATGGTGTCTCTGTAAGCAAGGCTTTCAATTCATTTTGATCTTCCTGCGGAGTGATGTTGGTAGTCTTTGCTCCTGTCATAGCTAAGGGTTTTGTCTTGGAACTGGCTCATAACAAGAGGATGGTTCACAAAGTGAATGTGCTCTTGAAAAAAAGCAGTCCCATGAAGATCGAGTATATCTATAATTTGTTCAAAGTTCCATCGTTGCAATATGTCCAATAGATATTTCATTCATGGGGTGGCTAATAATTGGTTGCCTCTTATATATATATTTTCCTTTGTTATTAGTTATTGTTTCCTGATCTATGTCGGGTGCTTAAGGCAGAGGGTTTTGGACTGGGTTTCTTTCAGCTACATTTTGTTGATATGGGAAGAGAAAAATGGGAGACTATCAAAAATGTAAATGAATCAGAAGTTACTGAAGAAAAAAGTTGGTGCTGTTTTCCCTGGGTGATTATCTTTACATCTGCATAGATATTTTCTCTCACAAAGCCTCTGTACTTTGAGCAGTTTCTATTTCAGTTCTTAGATGCTACCCTAGCATCTACACTTGGATTGCTCGTGGAATCTAGCCTTTGATAAGCAACTCACATTTCAATGAATGAATTTTGAGGAAGTAATGCTTGATCTTTTATTTTGCAGAATCGTGGAACTGTGTTCAATTTTTATCTCTTTTTCCCGCCCCTTCTTTGCAGGTTTCTGATAAAATAGAAACAGAATCCGCCATCTTGTGAAAAGGTTGAAATTAGAATTAATTAATTTGTTTGCACAGGGAAGTTAAATGATCAACTTTGTAAGGGAGACTGGGGGCCTATAAGAAAAACTCGGGGGTGGCCGAACAGAAATAGGGGCTTTATGTGGAAAGTTAAATAAGGCCCTAATATTATGTGGTATAATAATATAGATAATAGATGGTAATCTGGTATTAAGCAATTTTTAAAAAATCAAAATTTCCATTTGAAAATTCTTTTCCTTAGTTTTTGAAATGCAGAAATACTAATTCAAATTTTGCATTCACATTTTGCATATGAAAACACCGTTAATTGAAGTTGAATTCAAAGACCAAATGTAATTAAGTTTGTTATTGGTTGAAGATATAGAGAAAAAGAATTGAAACTTTATTTTGGTGGCTATTAATTTTTTAAAGAATGAATGTATGTAGGAATTTGTGTAGGTTGAATGTCCTAGAATAAGTGTGACATGATTGAAGAGCAAAGAAATCTCATGTTTAGATGAGAAAATTTAGCAAGACAACTATGAATATGATTACCTTTTAGATAGTGAGCTATACCTACTCACTTTGTTTTCTAGTCATTTTGTGTGATGCCGAAAACATTAAGCAAAAAATCCAACCATAAGAAAAAGGGGCATCAGATTTAACTTAAGACCAGTGATCATTCCAATCACACATTTTTTTACTTGTACCAATTACATTTATACTTGGATAGCTCACATTTGATTGTGTAAAGCCAAACAGTTATAGACATAATTCGCAAATTCTACATGAAACAGACACAATATTAGCATGGTTGGGTTTAGCCTTCTTGTCGGATGCATTGGCCAAATCTGCCAAGTGAATGCATTCAGATGAATCCAATTAATTACAGATTAAATCAGTCGTTTAAGACTAAAAAACTAGGTTATAATTGGGGATCTTGTAATTTTTTTGAAACAATCTTAAAAAATTTATTTGGGGGCCCAAAATTTTCCATTTATTGGGGGCCCTAGGTGGCGGCCTTAGTAGCCTATGCCTAGGGTTGTCCATGGTGAAACTATTTTGGGTTTTTATTCTTTATTGTGCATGGTTTTACTTTCTATTGTTTTTGTCTATATGCTAATGTGTCACAGTTAGATTTTCATGCTTATGAAAAGAAAACAGGCCTAAATTATTGAATAGGAGACGTTGTACTGCTTTTATATTCAAATCCCCATGCTATCATACATCTTTATGCTTCTTTGGTTGTTTGAGTGGACAGTTGTTATTTGTTTGGCATGAAGGATAACTTTAGCATTGCAATGCATTATCTGACATGCCATGTGTACTTTCTAGTCATGAGAACGGAGAGGATGACGGTGTGCTCCTAACTTATCAGGATGTCCAATTACTATGCAGGGGCGGAATAATTCAATTCATTCTCTCCGAGGATCATGGTCTAATGCTGGCATCTCTCATGTTGTTGCTTGTTTTAGCTGAAAGTAAAGGTACTTTTATTTCTTTGTTATTATATGGAGTGCAGACAAAATATCCTGATTCACTTTTATTTTTTGATTGCTGGTTAGCAGATCTTAATTATCAGCTGGCTGCAATGATGGGATTCTCACAATCAAAATCCAGGATGCCGAAGGTGATGCAGTATATAAGTTTATATACTACATATGATATTGTGATCTGATTTTGTAAAAATGGTTTTACCTATTGCACAAGGCCATACCTATAGAAGGTTCTGGGAGAGATAAGTTCTAGGTAGCCTTACCCTCATTTTGAAGGGGCTGATTTCTGAAGAATGACTTCTTAATGTTGAGTTCTTGATGGTGATTGACTGTCATTGTGTTTGTCTACGACTTTGATGATCTTGTCCTTCTGCCTGTGTAGATTATAAGGTTATAGTCATATCTAAGTTGAGGAATTATATATGACTGTTCTAGAAAAATGATGACTCTGCAGAGTTCTGATCATCATTTATTTCTTGACCTTGTTGATATCTTCATTTGCCAGACACATGGATTTTCTGCTTCACCAGAGGATGGAAGTACTATAGTGACATACATGCATCAGGTATATTCACTAGATTATCAAGTCACATTGTCTAATTTGATTATTTCATTTGAGTTCTGCTAGCTTCAGAGTTGCTGAATATTTGAATTCAACTTTTCCTTTCCCAGAAGTGTAACATTATTTACCTTGGTTTTTGTTCATTTGTTCTCCAGAGTCATGATGAACATCTTATTCTGTCATACAGATCTTAAACGCATTATTGATGGTTTTGGCCAGTGAACCACCATGCTCAGCACTAATACAATGGCATTCAGGATGGATCTTGCGGAAACTACTGGTGTTTCAGGAAAAGAGGCTTCATGATTTTGATTTTCAGCTCTTTCACGTAAGAGTTAGACTTATTTGTTTAAATGCATATCTCTTTTTGTGTTTCGTTATTACTGCTTTAGAAATTCTCACACTCAAGTGAAGTGGATGATGACTGTAATTTTCATGCTTACTAGAAGCATAGATAGGGTTCTCAAGATCTATAATCTAGCAACATGTATAGTTACATACTGAAAATTTGCAAGGCTTATAAAAACAGTGGATTGTAATTGATGACCCATAACTATCTTTGATGAACTCAACTGACTAATTCACTATGTACTATATGAAAGCAGATTGAATATTTTTTTTTCCCATTTATTTGCTGATGTCCCAAAAGATTCTGATATCTTTGATAATGGCATGGAAAATGTATGGGAAGGAGACCAATAACCGCAGTATCACTGTGTAAGTTCACTGGTTCCATGATTCGAAATGTTGAAAGAGCCATCTATTAATGAAGGAGAAACAATGCTGATATAGCTGAAAAGTGATGGTGGTGAAACTTACATTAAACATGAAGGTGATGAAAAAGTGGAGATTATGAATTCATAAAGGCTCACTTACCCAACAAATGAATTCATAAGGTTCTCATGTCAACTCAAATATGATATTGGCAATTCACAGTGAACTCTTGAGAACCAAACTGATCTGGTTAATTGGGATCACACGCGTCATTTTAACTGGCCTGAAAATTCTCCATTCATATTTTTAGTGTCTTCTTTTTCCTAGACTCTAAAATCTGGAGCTCAACATCTATAGAATGTAGCTAATATATTGAGTACCAAGTTCTGTGGGGCTTATCATTGAATATTGCTTATGTCATTAAGATGATATTTCATTGATTGTGTCATGAAAATATACCTTAAGTGGATTTGCATATTTATACCAATTCAAATTTCTGATTATTTGAGAACAAAGAAAAATCAGTTCCTGGCAAATTAGAGTGAGGGACATGCTCAAAGCCAGAGACTCAGCAAGGGTCCCGCTGAAAACAATGATCACCACTTCATGTTACAGTGTTATAACTGTAGAAAGTTCAAGAACTAGAACCGTTATTGGTACTGATACTGAAAGAAAGAGAAATACCCAACTTATCCATCAAACTTTGTAAAGTTCTAAGCTTCCTGATTTACTTTGGCAGAAATCATATGAGCAATCCTGTAAACGTCTTCGGGAAGAACTTCACAATTGCTGGTTTGATTATATTCCAGATACTTTGAGAAATGAATGGGCAAGCTGTAAATCAGGTATGTACTATTTTCTGTTGGAACTCAATTGCCCATTGGAAGGCAGTTGAACATACTCTATTTAGAAGGGCAGATTAGGGTTACTGCTTAGGAGGATTCCTTTGTTGGTGTGAAATATCTCTGCTGTATATACCATGTAAGTGAAATTGTATGGAACTAATTACTTTGCTTAACATATATGTAGCTCTTCAGGAATCTTCCCAATCTAAGGATCCTTTTTTTGCACTAGACCTTGCTTGCCACCATAATAACCTTCCTTGTGGTAATAAAATGCTTTTTTTTTTAATTTTAAAGTATCCTTTTGTTTCTTATTTTGTTAAACAGTACTCGTGTGTTACCAAGTTTCGTTTCATCCTGCATCTCAATCATTATTGAAAATTATTAAATTGTATCATTTCAGACAGCACACCTTCTGCTCTTGCTTGGCATAGGATGGTTGAAGCAGTCAAGGTTTGTTCAACTTATTTTGGACTCCAACTTTCTTTGATTTTTGGAGAATGTATCCCTTTTATGCATGCTTTTGAGCTATTAAACATGGAGACTGATATGCAAACTGGTATCTAACATGGGGTGAGGTGTCCTGAAGGACTCCTCAAGAAGGAACTGCTGTTCTGATTTCAGTTCCCAAATTAATGCCCATTTGGAAAAAGTTGTTAAAATTGAAGCGTCATAAAATTTTATTGTAAGAATTCAGATTGAGATTCATTGGACTGGGCATATATCAAAGCCCAAAGGTATTTTCCTTTCATTGTTTTAATGCACTTTTTATTTTCCTTCTTTGCTTGATTTGCATCGTAGAAATTTAAAATGGACACCAGATGTTAAAAACGTGTTGATGATAAACTAGATAGGTCAAAGCATGACCATATGACTATATTTTTTAAACATGATACAATACCATGGCTTGACAGTTACTTGTAATTTGACTCTCTCGTCCCTCCCTCTCTCTCACACACACTCCCCCCCCACCCAAACAAAAAAAAAAAAGAAAAATTCCACACAGGTATTTAGTTTTTGTGTTCTATGCATACTATCTTCTGCACACATCCAATTTGTGAATTTTTCTACCGCAGTCATTGTGCATGACACAGTAATCTCATGATGATGCAGTTCTCATAGTTGTTACATATTTAGGTTTTGGTTCTCCATCTTCAATTGAAGCCATTTATTTTTGGTGGCGATCCTTTTGATAATCCATTGATAAGCTTGAAAAGCAGTTCCTTGGCTATTTCAGGAAGAAAATATGCTTCAGATCTTTCATCTGCAAGCTTTGGGTCAGACATAGCGTTAGGTGGGTCATGCATCCTGTGAGATTCCCATTCAGTTCTTACACTGCTCCCGAAAATCATATTCTCACAATTCTTCTTTTCGAAAATCTTGCAGGCTCTGGAATCCCTTGTCAAATTGCATTTTCAAAAGGAGGGATAAGGGATATCTATATCATAGCAATAGCCAGGGAAACATCTGGCAAGTTGCTTCTTTTGGAGAAACACCCCTTACACTCTAAGCGAGGAGTTGTAATCGCTATTGCTCCATTGGCGGGGTTGAGTGTAAGTCTTGTATTTAATAACATAACTTTCTGTATGTTATAATGCCATTGTGACAGTAACTAGTTTTGAGCCTGATAGTAGAAAGTGGGTCTCACAACTCACGTTTTCTGAGAAATAGGATAACTGTGATCAATCTTCAATTTTCATGTTGGCCTTCAGATTTGCAATTGTTCTTCTTCATATATTCAGGTTTACGGTTGGAACACATGATACTTTCTTGTGCAAGCCATGCCAATGTGCCTTAGAGGAAAATTGTAAAAGAAATTGGGTGTGTGTTTGTTGAGTCAATGAAGTAATTATGGCTCATCACATAAAATTTCATTAAGCACTTGGGCGAGTATTTTTAAGATTTCTCATTCTTTCATCTTGTGCATTGAACCAACCATAGTCAACAGGCTAATTAAAGGGAAACTTGTATAAGTTAATGGAGCCATGCCATACGATTTACTATTTAGCACGTATCTTGCAAAAGGAATTTCTTATGTTTGAGTGTAGATAATAAGAAGAATTGAAAAGGACGAGTGGAAACATAAGAAATGATGGGATTGAAATGGATTCATTTGTAATAACAGATGAGATGAGACAGTGGCTATAAACTCTTTGATCATATGCAATGAACAACAGTAGTAATTCCACCCAGAAGGATAAGTGACGCATGGAGGGAAGGGGAAGAAGAAGGGATACCAAATCCTCGCAAGGATTATGTTAAGAAACACAATTCTCTATAGAGAATAATCAACTCTAATCAAAATAATGGAATTACATCCTCATTTATAGACAAACTGTCTTACTAAAAAGAACTACTCTCCTACTAAAACCCATCAACATATATCCCTACTAATCTCAATATGATAAATACTATGTAACTAAAAATTCAACTAATAACTAACAAAAAGTTGATGCATGAATCATAACAAATCTATCATGTGCATTTCCCTTTGGACCAAAAACTCTTAGCCTTTCGCCTAGGCTTCCAAATCCGGTCATGTTGGTCCAACCATCAAATGGCTATGCCATCAATAAGTGGTTATGCTTGTTTGATATCCAAACAGATTGGTTTTATTCTGTTTTTTTTATACCTATCTTCATCTGTGCTCGTCTGTGTGACTATTCATCTTTTTTATTTCCTTTTTTCCCTCCTTTTTTCTCTTGTTTTCTTTTCCGTTCTTTTAAATTTTTTCCTCCTGTAAGAGGGTATCTTACAAGCAATGAAGTATTGACATACAAAACAAGATAAGAAACATGGCAAAATTTAAAACTATAGGAGATATTAAGGGAGGCAGCATGGCAATAAAGACTATTTTCTTGTGTGAAAATCCCTCTATTTTGTTAAAGGGCCATTAGTGTGGGCATGGCATGGGAGGGGGAAATCTATCTACATGGGTATTGAATCAAAACTTCCTCAGGATCTCCACAAGTGAAATCAGCAGAGGAAATACATCCAGAAATCATATGACAATCAACATGAATATACGAAAAGGAATCTCATGTTCCATGGTTGTTGCATGGAATACGTAATTCAAATTGTATAAGCAACTAACACTCTCATTGAAACAAACACAGGGTGATTACACGATTATGTGTATACATATACTGTACAAATGTCTGTGGGACTCTCATTGAATAGACATGCACAGGGTGATTACACAATTATTTGTATACATATATTGTACAAAAGGTCTATGCATATACATACGCGTTCAGTGATAACACTTTCTCGCAGATATACTTTTGCTGCCAGGAGCTAATAATTTTAGTTGACATTGATTTTGACCCATTCTTCAACTTTGAAACCAGCCGAAGATAGATGAGAACCATCCATCATGGTTGCATCTTCAGATTAGAGATTTCGACCCAAAGTTTGAAGCAAGTAAAATAAAAGGCCATCACTCGAGCATGTCCATTCACGAGGCTGATCGCCGATGGACACTTGGTTTTTCAAATGTGGAAACTTGTGAGGCTGCTCGATCGATGATTTTTGAGGAAACTAGCAAGCAGAGGTCGGCAGTGGAGAGCTTGCTTGCTACACTACTTCAGGACAATTTTCCAGGAAATTCATCAGATAGTCAAGGGCTGTGAGGCAAAGATGTGACGGGATATAGGTTTGCCTACTAACAAATTTGCATTCTTTTTATATCCGTGTGTGTGTGAATGTATGTACTCATATATCTGTATTCATGGATGTGCACATGTATGAATGGTTAAGGGAGTTGTGCTGCATAATAATGGATGTTGAGTCAACTGACTAGCATAGATGAAATACAATAGTAATTCCGACAGTGCTGTAGTTTATTCTTCAGGTGTTATTTTTAGTCTTCTAATATTAAACATGAGAATTCATGTTTGGTATTCGACATTCAGAGCTTTTAGAGAAGACGATGTAAAATATGTTTTTTTTTTTTTTGGGTCGGCTGATGTGAAATAGTTGGAAGCATGCATTTTGGGTAGAGATTTGTCTATTTGTAAGCAGTTGAAGACGGTGAATATCCTGTTTAGTTAATGCTCAAATGTGTAGCCTCTGTTTGTATTGTTCTAAATTTCTGTTCATTCTACTTGTTGATTAAAACAATCTTCTGTCTCATGATCTATGATTCTCGTTCATTCCTAAGAGTTTCTGTCGATGTACATTTGGATTGCCTATTTGCTGTCAAGAACAAAGTGTTTTTGAGATGGGTTCAACTATGGTATTGAAAAGTTATCTTTCTGTACCATACTTTTTTCAAGTGAGAAAGTTCACTCATGATACCCTAGCCTTGATCCTCTTGAGATTGTGCATAGATTTAGCTTTGAGATGTTGGATTATCGTATGATTCTACTAGTCGAATTTGGTTACTTTCTCTTTCCTCATCTTGTGTGGTTACCAAATAACTGTATTTTAGTTGCTGGTACCTATAGTTTCTTTGTCAATAATACCTACCTATTATTACCATGTTCCCAATGACTGAAAAATGTTTCTCCATAATTGCTATGTATTGTCCATTTCAGAGATTACATTAGCATGTCATGATAACAACCTTGTAAAAGGTATGCACAGCCTCTAAATTGTGGGCTACCTATGGAGCTTCTCCGAATCAAGTGGACTGAGTGTTACCCCTGTCCACCGACCTTGGTTCAAACCTTTGCGTACAGCCTTTCTCAGAGCCTAGCTTGACAGAAAAACTCAAGAAATGTGTACCTATATGATTATGGTTTAGTACATATTGGTTATGGTTCAAAGATGACATACTTGTGAATTTCATTAGGGCGTGTAAAGCCGAGATCAATGATTTTTTTTGTGAAATGCGTCTGTAGATGACTATTACAGTGAAGAATCAATCATCTACTTTTGAATAATGCATTGGGAGGAGAGTATTTGCATGTGGATAAAAAAATTCCCCAAAGGTGGGCTCCAATAAAAACCAAATAGGAGATATAATTTTAGGGGTAGTTTAGTGTCTGAGTCTAGTTTTTGTAACTCAAAAATTTCAGGTTGAACATTTTTCGTATCTCTTAAGGGCCAATAACTCTTATTCTTCAAAGAACATATTTTAAATTTCTTCGAGCTATAGTAGTCCGTATTCAAGTTCGAGGGAATAGTTGGTGCAAACTTAAATATCAAAAAGAAAAAAAAAGGGAGATATAAAAATGATCAAAGATACTTCTAGACATAAAGAAATAGATAAAGCAAGCCTAATTAGTAAATCTTAGGGTAAATTGTACCGTTAATCTCTAAGGTTTGACACTTATTGCATTTTCGTCTTTAGAGTTTTAATTTCGTAAATTTCGTCGTTCATGTTAATACATTGACTCACTTTGATCTTTATCCCTAACTGTCGTCTAAAAAAATGACAGAAAAGAACACGTGAGCAACATGTGAGGAAGTTTGAAGGGCAAGGGAGTCATTAACCTTTTTTTCTTCTCTCTCTCCCTCTCTCTCTTTGTATGTGTATGGATTTGATTCCATATTGTCGAAACCCACTTAAACACAACTCTTCCCATATCTCCTCTGCCATCACCAACGCCATAAGCATGCCCCCACCACCAAACACCATATAAATCAAACCCCCATTAACTACCAATCTCATTGTCAATTTCTTTTCTCTCTCTCTCTCTCTCACAAAGATTTTTTATTTTGATATAAATTTTGACATGGAAGAAGTAATGGTGGGGCGTCGGTTAAGAGAGATTGAGCGAGATAGAGATCTATAGAGAAATTCACAATTAGAATTCAATTGAGCAATACCCAATTCATACCTAATTCTTCATCAATTCAAAACCCTTATTGCCACCACAACAACCATCGTAGCTCTGAAGACTTCAATTGAGCAATACCCAATTTTGATCTTCTCTCTTGCAGAACTCAGCAACATCGCCCATTGCAAGTTCTGAATCCTTGTGTTAGGGTTTTCGATATGTTGAGTTTGGGGTGTGGAGATGCAATAATGATGTGGGTGTGGGGGTGTGTGTGTGTGACTACGGGTTTATGTTTGGGTGTGTATTTGTGGTTTTCTGTTGTGTTTATGTTAGGGTTTAGATGTGTAGGGTTTGAGGGTGGAGACGCAATAACAAGAGAGAGAGAGAATGATGTTTGTGTGTGTGAGGGAGAGAGAATGATATCTATCTATGTGAGGGAGAGAGAAGAGAAAAAAGAAAAGAAGAAGAAGGTGGGTGTTTGGGTTCATGTTTTTGTATACATACAATGGATAATTGTGTTTGGATACACAAATAATTATAAAATATCAAAAATTTCCTTATACCCTCATGTGCCAAAGCACATGACATTTTTTGTCTATTATTTGGACGACAGTTCAGAGTAATGACAAAAGTAAGTAAATATGTTAACATGGAGGACGAAATTGACGAAATTAAAACTTTAAGGACGAAAGTGTAACAAGTAGCAAACCTTAGGGATCATTGGTACAATTTACCATAAATCTTATTATTAGCAGTAATATGCATAGGAAATAATCTCGCATTCACTTAAACATGGTGTGGGAAGGGGGAGGATCCATTGATATAGAAAGAGGGCCGAAGCCCATATTTCAAGCTTAATGAAAATGGTTCCTCTAGGGCACAATATATTTTTTGTATGCTTATCATGTAAACCACGATTTGAGTGTATTTAGAATATAGAGTAACCATTATATTGAGCTGAGACTCTAATGCAAATTTAATGCATATACATCACCCAGTTTGAACCAAACCTAAGTCTTTTTTTGGTAACTAAATAAATTTTTATTCCGAAATAATAAATATAATAAGTGATGCACAAAACATGCCTAAAAAAGGCACACCACCAGCACTATGACTTGCTCGAGAGCAATACCTAGGGGCTAAACCGAGCAAATCTCATAAGATATCTACTCAACATGTACTTTTTCTATTGAAAGAAAATTGTAATTCATAACACTAAGTGTTTAAAAGTTTCTCTCACGTCTCAAGAGACTAGGCTAATCAATTGCCTATACAGGAAGATTTTACAGTAATATTAGACAAGAAGCTTCTAACAAACATTTGCTCATAAAACCTATTCGTCGATAATTTAGTGATAAGAAAGATTAAAAATCAAAGATGGTTTTCATAAAGAAATAAAAATGGATCATTCGAAGCTGTTTTTGGGGTCAAATGTATCATGTTTCTTCCACCAAAGTACCAAGCAACAACAGCGAAAAGCATAAAAATAAATATTCTGTGCAGCTCATCGAGTATAAGAGCCAAAGTTGTCATTTATATTTTAATGATAGCCACTTTTTGAAGTTCATGAAACGTAAGTTTTGTTTACGACAAAACAATGCACTAACACAAAAATAATGCAAACTTTTGGGAAAAAAAGTGTTTGGTACGTAATTCCATCACCTTTACATTAACAAGGCTGTCATGTCTTAATTAGAACAACTTTTTCTCTACATTCATTTTAATCTCTCTCTCTCTCTCTCTCTCTCACACACACACTCTCCCCCAACACCCACACACACCCTAGTTTTGTAGTATCTTAGATGAAAAAAAAATACAATAATGCCTATGTTAACCAATATTTCTTATTAATGTTTTCATCTCAAGTAGTGTGACACAGTTTTCATCATCAAATAAGTGGATCTCATTAATGTTTAATGACGGAGATTATGTCACACCACTTGGGATATAAAACTTGGTAAGAAACTTGACAAACATAACATTACTCGAAAAGAATATTCATTACAACGGTAATATCAAGTCAGCATTGCCACGTGATATCATCAACTAATAATATGCAAACAAATAAGAAAGTGGATCCCACACAGGTCAATAATTACCCTCTCTTCTTTTATGCAAATCAATAACTACTCAAGTATGGTTCACTTTGTCTATTTAGGGTTTTATTATTCATTGATAATATCATTACCACGTCATCAATGCTAACATAATATCACCATTGTATTAAATATTCTCTCATCTTAGATATTGCTTTCACCCACATGGCCACGTATAAACCATAGAGATGCTTATTTGAAATTCAAAAGCAAAAAAAATGAGCAGCCCTTTTGAGTAGATAATGCCATATTTTGCTTTTAAATGTGCTTTATGATAGAGTGCTTTACTTTAAGCAAAAGAAAAAGAAAAGCAGATGAGGGTTCTAATGCAATGTGTTCTCTTGCAAATATAGCAAAGAGTGATAGTGAAAGAGGAAAAAGGTAACCCTAACTTTCACTTTGGCACAAATCTCTTGGTTGCAAACGCAAAATTAGCAAATAATTGTTATGTGGGTTCACTTTTCATATAGTTTTTCTCTATAAGACAAATTACACACTCTCTCTCCTTACCCCACGAGTATAATGTCACTTCACTCCCTGTAGTACTATTGAATTTATGATACTTCTCTATAAACTATTTGATCTGATTTCTTATTCTCCAAAACTAATAACTGCTATGTTTTGAATGGAATATATCCACGTATCATTAGAGTTTGAAAGAAAGTGAATCAACATAGTAATTTGAGAAAAATAGAGAAATAACTCTCCGTCCCTTTTACAATAATATATTTGGAGATACTATATGAGACGTGGAGATAATTGAAGGGTTCAATACACTTTATCCGTCTTTATTTGACCAATTTTAACCAT